AGACAATGACAGTGACTTTATACATTATAAAGTTTATACTACAAAGTTTTATTATTTATATTATAAAATTTATGTTATAAAGTCACTGTCATTGTCTATAAAACCGCATCTGCCCATGCAAAGTTTGCCACGCAACCCGTCATACTGCCTAGTATGTATCTGTAACACGCTGTACATAAACAACTACAAAAATTAATATGTTATTGAATAAAGATCTCAATATAATGCATATGCGTATATACATGTATAATAAATCACGAAATTGATCAATTCGTATCATTGCATTGTTACGAATTTCTTTTAAAAAATTCTAGAATAAAGTAATCATAGAAATAGTAAACTTATAGGTGTTTTTTAAATTATATGATTGATGTTGAAAGGCTATCTGAAAGGCAATTGTCTTCCTCGAATCAATAGATAATTGTTGTGTAATACATTTCGTAAGTTTCGTGAGCCACGAATCAAATATAAATATATGTAAATACATATATAAAGAAACATTGATAACACTCTTTAAATTCTTTGGTGTGAAATCTCACTTTGTAAAAGAGTGAAAATTGAGCTAATATTGAAAAATTGACTTACTTTTTAATCTTTTCATCTTTTTGCCACTCGTCAGTGTCGTCATTGTGTTGTCATCGTATAAATACTATTGCTATATTACACGCAACATTGTAAATTATTTCCTGTCATACAGCGAATTGAGAAATGGAACTGAATTGAGCAATTCATTTCATATGATATTAAACACTCAGTTTTCGAAATCGTAATTTGCCTTAAAACGTTGAGTTTCCCGCTATTTCACACGTACAAAAATAAAATTACTTTCAGCGTAAGCTGAAATTACAAGAGTGAGATTTCATTCTTCAGAGTGCGATCCACTCTAAAAGGTTTAGAGATATATGCTATATATATACATACATAACATATTATTGTTAAAAAATAAATAATTCTTATGCTTAAGGTAACTTTATTTTTGTAAGTATAAAATAACAGGAAATTCAACATTTTAAAACAAATTACGATTTTGGAAACTGAATATTTAATTTTATATGAAATAAATTACTCAATTCAGTTTAATTTCTCAATTCGGTGTATGACAGGAAATAATACACAATGTTGCGTATAATATAGCAATAGTATTTCTACGATGGTGACAACGCAATGACGACATTAACGAGCGGTAAAGAGATGGAAAGAGATAAAGAGAGAGAGAGAGAGAGAGAGAGAGAGAGAGAGAGAGAGAGAGAATACGGCGTAAAAAAGGTCAGGGGAACCTATCAAGAGCGGAAGGACCGAACAGTTAATTATTAGTGTCCGCGACCCAAATAATCGTAACCTTCGATCGTCAGACGGTGAAGCGTAAAGAATTATCCATTTTTTCCGCAATAAATAATCCGGCTATCACTGATGATTAAAAAGATGAAAAAAACCATTATTGTCAATTGATTGTAGAAATATTAAAGAAATTCTTGAAGTTATACGAGATATCTCGAAAGATATTTTTATAGAATCGAATGCTCATAAATATTCATTATCAAAAGTAAGGAACTTTGAGAGAAGTTTTCTTTAGAAACAAGCATCCTATAAAAGTAATTAAAAATTTGACAGCTGTTAGATATGGATAATTAAAATCCTTTTTGCACCGAGATAAGTTTTATATGCCAAGGTTGATAAAATACTTCAGTCTTTAATTATAATACGTAAAATAAATTACGGAGAATATTTCGTCACTCTTTTCTTCAAATTAGGTAGACTAATTTTTCTTATCTAAAAAAATCTACTTAGAAAAATAGTTTAATTATGCTAAATTCACGATTTTATTGTTATCTTCGTTTTCCTTGAGCTTGTTTGTATCTTTTACAATACTCAAAGAGAACAAAGGTTTATCCAGACTTGTTTGGAAAAATCACTTAGATATTAAAAAAATGGTTGTGCGAAATTTCATCGAGATTAAAGATATATCAGATGCATAGTTTCTGTAAAAAATGAAATTAGCAATTTATATTTTCTATATAAAAATGAATGTTACATACAAATAAAATAGTTCAATAAAATCAGTATTTATATTTAACAAATATCATTTTATAATTTAAATAAAAATTTTCTCATTTTATCGTAAGTATTTTTTAAAGACACGATTAAAAAAAATAATCAAACATTGCTTGAAATAAGTTTTGATTCATGTTCAAAATCGCCACCAAACTTTTTGTACTATTTTCAAATACAATATGGAATATCTGTAATTTTTTTCGTAATTCTTTCATTTTGTTGAAAAATACGTGTTTGATGATGACAGTACGATTCAATTGAATCGAAGGTAAGGTTCAGTGAACAATGAATATCCGGTGCACAGCGAGCGGTCCTTCGATTTCTTGTTGCATTCTCATTGCCAAATCCTTTTGCGGCGTATACGGCGTGGACTGATTACCAAATCCGGCTCGAGATTGTGAAGGCAGGGTAAATGCGAGCGATGTTTACACGCTCGTAATCGCGTACCGATCGTTATATCTAATTGCCTCATGCTCGCAGTTCCGACAAAATATATCTCGGATCGAAAA